CCCCATAATTTTAAAGTATGACACATGAACTTAATTACTCTATAATTTGCACACTCTGGCGTGTCCCTTTATTCTTAAAAATGGGGGCCAAAATATTTTTCTTCCACTCAGACATCTTTTTAGCTTTTAAAATAATATTAAATAGTTTTGTAAGCCAAGAAACTTCCAAATCTCCTAAATATTTCCACACATTAATTGGGATATCTTAACGTTCTACTGATTTTCCACCTGTGATTTTTTTAAAACCCCATCAACTTTCTTTTTACTAATGTGATAGTAAAAGTAAGAAGTTTTATTATTATTAACGATATTAAGATCATTAAGGTTAAACATATTTTCAGAAACTTCTTTGAAAAAATTATCAAAATAACTTACCCATCTATGTTGAATATTTTCTTCTATTTTATTTTTCATTTTTAATACACCTTACTTGAATTAAATCTTTGTTTTTTTCTTTTTCTTTATTTGACTTATTTATATATATATTTTTTATCATTTTTAGTATCTAATCTATTATAAAAATCACTAAAAGTAAAATTCTTAGCGTCACAAATTGTTTTCTTAGACTATCTACGGGTCACCTTATATTTTTCCCTCTTCTTTAGTCTTTTAGATTTACACCTATTTTTATAACACAATTTTTATATTTTATTATTTTTTGCACATTATTATTCCACTACCAATTATCTTTATTTATTAAAACTTTCTTTTGATTCTCCAAGTACATATTTTTCCACTTGTTTAATAGTGCTTGTTATTTTATTCTACATAGAATTAGCTTCTTCATGACCCTCATAAATTTTGAAATCTTGAAGTTTTCTCATAAAGATAATTTTATTTGTGTCTTTTAGGTGCCCTTATCTTATTATATGACAATGTTTTATTGTATTTTTTATTTTACTGCTCATCTTAGAATTCAAAACTAATAATCAATGTTACAACAACAACAACAACAACAACAAAGCTAACAACAACAAAGCTTTAATCCCACTATGTGGTGTCGGCTACATGAATCCTTTTTCTCCATTGTGTCTTATTTAGTGTCATATTTTCATTTAGGTCGAGTAAATTAAGATCATTTTTTATACAATAAGCCCAAGTTTTCCTAGGTCTACCTCTCCCTTTCTTAACACAAGTTGAATCTAAAACATCCACTCTCTAATCTGATCATCAGATGGTCGACGTTTAATATGACCAAACCATCTAAGACGACTTTCTCTAATTCTGTCTGTCACAGGAGCTACACCAACTCTATCACGAATATATTCATTCCACATTTTTTCTCTAAGTGTAAAGTCACTCATCCACTTAATCATTCTCATCTCGGCAACACTTAACTTATTATTATGCTTCTCTTTTAAAGGCCAACATTCAGCGCCATAGAGCATTGCAGGTCTCACCACCGTCTTATAAAATTTTCCTTTCAGTCTTAGCGGTACATTTCTATCACACAAAAGGCCCGAAGCATTCCTCCACTTCAACCAACCAACTGAATTCTACTGTTAACATCCCCATCTATATCACAATTGCTTTGGACAACGGACCCAAGATATCTAAATCGTTCACACCTTTTAATAACTTGATCACCCAAAGTCACACTTCTGTCACTTGAGCTACTACTACTAAAATTGCATTCCATGTATTCAGTTTTAGTTCTACTGAAATGAGGCCTTTAGACTCCAATGTAGTTCTCCATATTTCAAGTTTTTCCTGGGTTTTTTCACTCGTTTTATCCACGAGAAGGATATCATAAAAAAAAAACATACACGAAGGTACCTCCTCCTGTAGATGTCTAGTAAGACCATCCATAACTAAAGCAAAAAGATATGGGCTTAAAGTCGATCCCTGATGTAATTCAACAGAAATAGGAAAATATTTGATCAATCCTCCTTCAGTTTGAACACAAGTAACAACTATAGTATACATATCTTTAATGACTTGAATATAAGTCATATCAACACCTTTCTTCTCAAGAATTCTCCAAAGAATATCTCTTGGAACCTTATCGTAGACTTTTTCTAAATCAATAAAAATCAAATGTAGATTCTTCTTATTATCTCTGAACTTCTCCATCAAACCTCTCAATAAATGTATATCTTCCATAGCAGAGCTACACGACATAAATCCAAATTGATTATGAGAAATGTTTGTAATATGTCTTAACCTATGTTTAATTACCCTCTCCCATATTACCCTCTCCCATAACTGTTTAATTACCCTCTCCCATATGACACATCCACTTAATTCCCACTTAATTCCTCTATAATTTGCAAACTCTTGTACATCCCCTTTATTCTTAAAAATGGGGACCAAAACTCTATTAATTTTTACAACATTATATTTCAAACTCTTATCTATAATTACTCCTACACCATTTCTAGTGCGACTTTTAGCAGAATACCAAATTTTAAAAACTAAATTATCTTTCTTGAATACATAAGATATTAATTTTCCAATGAATCATAATATCAACTAATTCCATTAATTTACCATTGAGAGTATCTATATTCTAAGATCCAATCCTGATATTAGTTTGATTAGTTTCATAGACTAACTTCTTTACCCAGATTTCGTTCGTAATGTGGAAAGTCTTGCTTATTTGACTCTACACCCGGGCGCTGGTATAGCGGCCCTTGCACACTTTTCACTAAATTCAGGCTATACAGCGCGTCGCTTCCAGGGGACGCCCTAGCACTTACACAATGATAAAAAAGATTCATGTCATGATTTTTTCGACAAGTTTTACGCTGGTTGTCGACTATTTAACATAACCCTCCACTTTTTACATCCAGGCTTGGGATCAGCAATGACAGTGTTAATAATCAATGTTACATACTTAAAAATTTTTTTGGAATGACCTTACAATCTTTAAATTCTCGACAATTTCTTTTTCTCATAAGAAAATAATTAGTTTGTGTTTTAGTAGATTCATTCTTATAAGTAATATTATGTTCATCTTTTTTCTTAAATAAAGTATTAGCAATAACAAAATGATGAGCTAAAACAAAATCTAATATGGTTCTACCTTCTTCATTAATCACTTCAAAATCGTAGCCACCATGAATATTTCTAAAATCTTCTAACACTCCCCAACATATCCATTTAAATCTCATCCACTAAAATTTTATCTTTAGATGATATCATTTATATTAATTCTTCTAGATCATTCTATTTTTTTATTTAACCTCAGACATTAAAAATCTTAATATTAACAACAATCTTTAAGATTACAATCCTATCTACAATTCTACTAATTTTTACATTGTTTTCTTTCAAGCTCTTATCAAACTCTCCAATCTTTAGGGCTATAATTCTATCTTAATAAATAACTTTTGATATTTTTATTATTTTAATTGAATTGTAACATAATACATTGAGTATAATTTTATTAAATTGAATCGAGGTAAAATTTTAAAAATAATTTTTATTATAAAAATTATCTCGCTAAATAAATTCTACATCACAATATACTCGTATTTAAATTTGGCTGTTATACACAATAAAATAATGTGGAAACCTAGATTTGCTAAAATATTCAAAAAATGTTTTTTTTGAAATAATGCATTTTGAACACCATTAATTTTCAATTTTTGTTAATTTCGACTGCATGATAATTTTGGTTCTTGTTTAAAGAGTTTGGGGATTATATCTACTACTTTTCATATTATGACACTAAAATGAACTCTTAGAGTATCATTTTAGTTGTTTTCTCAAAATATTTTAACTATTTTTAAGCACAGATCCTTGTATTACATTAAGTGATAACAATATTAAGAGAGCCATAGAGTGGAAGAGTGAAAGAGGTGCTTATAAGGTTGATTTGGCGTGTAACCGAGCAAGATTGGTCTAATTTTATATGACATATTCGAACTTTATTTAAGAGTTGTTGAGGAATTCTTGGATCTTTTTAGTAAAACAAAAAAGAATATGTCAACCAGCGTCCGACATTTTCCACTTTTGGATAACTGAAGCAGGTAGAAATGCACTATTGTGGATAAGTTTGAAGGTATTACTACTCGTCTTTTGATTCTTTTGCTGAACTCTCCTTATGAATAATTAGACATTGACATCTTTAATATTATTACTTTTGAACAATTATTCAAAAAAACATAGAAATGTTTTTACTTGATAATCATATTTTTTTTGCAAACTTTACCTGCTACAATTTCTTGAGATTTGGTTGATGTAGTTCTGCTATTGGTCGTTTGTTTTTCAGCACACCTCATTTTTGGTTTTCTGTAATCTTGTTTGTTGGTCAATTTTTCTTATCTGAGCTAAAATGGTAAAAAAATGGATGTTAAAGTTTCCCTTATATGCCCTGTTCCATTTACTTAACTTTTTTATTTTATGTATGCTTTTAGCTAGCTTAGTATTTTTATTAACGAACCTTGATAATATGATGTTTACAGTTTTATTCATTTTGATTTCTTGATGCAAGGAGTGCACTTAACCGTCCATTCCACTTTGCAGTGTGCTGTTATTCCTATATTTCATTCCACCAATTTCTTAAATTTCTTTAGGGGTTGTTTGTATCAGGGGAAAAAAATACAACTTTAGTAATTATGTAGAGATATTATCCATGTGCGCTAGTTGTGTTATTTTACCATCTTTGGCACATGCTATTGTGTTATTTACTGGCATTGTTTTCACGGTGAGGTAATTTGTAAATATTATTGCTTCACAGGTCAAAGCCTCAACTTCAAAAGTTCATAAACCTGTTTACTATCCTGAAGCTATTCTCTGTGTTGAGATTTATCATCAAAGCACATTGAAGAAGGTAACTTAATGCGGCTAAAATTAGAAGAAATGTTGCTTTATGATTTTTACCAATAAGTTGATTGAACTTATATTTTTCTGCTTTGTATTGATATCGTAAAGAAATTCTAATATATTTTTCAATTTATTTGGCAAATTAGTTCCATCGCTTGTCTCTAGTATTTTCACTGTTAGTTCCTGACAATCCATATTAGGTTAGATTTTTTTGGTAATTATGAATTTTTATTTGAAATTTTTTAACCTGCAATATTTAATCGCTTTTCATACTACCTTTAAAAGCTGCTTTCTTTTATCTTAAATTGAAACTTTTATTCATGTAATTTAATTATTTCCATATTAAAAATTTAAAAGTTTTGGGATTTTTTGCTTCATTAAAAAGCCTTTCTCTTCATCTTTTGTTAGCGATGCCAATAGTGCAGTAGACTGGGCTTTTCAGTAATTGGCCATGCCGTGTACGTATTTAAGAACAAACATACTTTCATTTGTCATTTTACGATATCTTAATTTACGCACTTGCACAGGTCCCACTTGAGACAATGATATTGGAGTTAACCAAAATTTGGTAGGGAAATAACTTTTAATTGCTTAGCAACAACGGATTACAATCAAGACTCAAAACAACATAGAAAATTAGCCGCATACTAATATCCAACTAGGGCTGGATAGGACAATCCTTGGACGGTGGGGAGGAGATGTGGGGAATTGGTGGTGGTAACGGAAAGGGGGTGTAAAGGGTAGGGGTTCAGTAGGGCTGGAAGAGTGTAGAGGGTTGCGGTGGAAATTGGAAGAGGGACTAGGAGTTAACAGCCTAGCTCGACCGTTGGAGGTGAGGTGTGGCATGTAGGCAAAGCAGGAAAGGTGGTTTGCAGTTGAACAAGAGGGTGGTTGTGGCGTTTGTGACGGCAACAGGTAAAAGTCATGGGGTTTGGCAGCTAGAACAAGGAAGGAAGGGCATGGACTGAAGGCAACGAGTAGGGGAGGGGAAGATGTGTGAGATTAGGTCGAGAAAGTCACTATCTTGGAGGAGGATACAATCGAAGCACTGCTTGTCCTTGAATATAGACGTAGCTTGAGAAAATGTGGAGAAATCTGAAATGATAAAAGTACTAAACGCTAAGTCAGACAAGGAACATATATATCATAGTAGATAGATTGGGAGGGGGATGCTCCTTTTCTTTGGGCGGAAAACCAAGCCCCATGTTGGATCCACCGGCCGGCTCAAGTTTCTCCTGACTGAACCAGCCGGTTCAGCCCTTAGCTCTACGTCAATTTCCCTGGGTTGGGGGAGCTTTGACTTCATTCGTTGAAGCTTCTGCTCCTCGTAACACGATGTCAAGTCTAAGACGTTGAATGCAACAGAAACATTGTAGTCCCCAGGTAGATCTATCTTATAAGTGCTGTCATTTAGCTTTCAGAGTATTATGAAAGGTCCATCAACTCTCTGAGCTTGAGTTTTTCGAATGCTCTCATAGGAAATCTTTCTTTTTTCAGCCAGATCCATAGTCTCCTTCTTGTAAGGTCACTTTTTCCCTACTCTTTTTCGTATGTGCTTGATATTTGCGGTTTTTCTTAGTGCTTTCTTTCCAACATTCTTGTGGAGTTTCTGAATCTTTTGCACCTGTGTCTTAACATCCGCACTAATCTTTGATGTCGGGAGGAGAGATACCAATTCAAGTGAAGTGGGCGGGCTGCGCCTGTACGCTATCTCAAATGGGTGTGTCTTATAGTCTGACTCATGGATCTCTTGTAGGCAAACTCAGTCCGAGCTAGAATCAAATCCCACTGCTTATTACTCTTTCTCACAAAGCATCTCAGAAGGTTTCCCAGGCTCCTGTTTACTTTCTCCGTCTGACCGTTCGTCTGAGAGTGAGCTGCTGAATTGAATTAATGCTTAGTGTCGTGCTCCCCTCACAGGGTCCTTCATAAGTGATTCAGAAACTTGACATCTCTGTCGGTATTTTGTGCAGTTGCACAATCACCCTGAAGTACAAAGCGGCGACATGGGATGCATCCATCTTTCGGTGGTAAGGGATGAATTACACCATCTTCGAGAATCGATCCATCACAACCATCACAAAACTCTTGTTTTGTTGTGTCTTTGGGAGACCCATCACAAAATCCATGCTAACATCCACAAATGGTGCCTCTGGTACAAATATCAAAGTGTATAGCTCTACATTCAGTCCCCTGGTTTTAGCTACGTGATAAATTCGACATTGTTTGATGTGCCGCTCCACATATTTCGCCAGTCGGGGCCAAAAGAAGTTCTCTCACGAGTGCGAGAGACTTGTACTTGTCAAAATGCTCCGCAAGTGCTCCACAGTCGCTTTCCTGAACAATGGACTCCCTCCGATAACTTCTAGAAATGCACAACTTATTTTGGTAGAACAAGTAACCATCAACATTGTAGTACTGCTCGGTAGGCCTCTCTTGACAATGCTCCCAAATTTTCTCGAAATCTTTGTTTGTTCCATACTGTTCCTTCACTTCCTTAAAGCCTACGACTCGAGCCTACATCGTTGTGATCAACAAGTGCTGATGACTCAGTGCGTCTGGTACGCGGTTCTGGTAACCTGCCTTGTGCTTAAGCACGAACTGGAATGATGCTAAGAACTCCACCCAAGATGCGTGTCGGCCCTTTAGCTTGCTGTGGTCGTTCAAGATTTTTAAGGCCTCATGATCTGTGAACAAAGTGAATTTGATAGAATTAGCTAGGTTTGAAAACTAGGTTAAGTTTTTTGAACTATCAAAGAAGTTGGTTTTGATGGTTTTAATCATTTTGCCAGATTTGGCATTTAATTTAGAAGAATTGTCATTCTCAATCTCCATTTAGTTGCAGCAAAGTTTTACTTGCAAGAATAGTGTTTTTAAGGGAATACAATGAATGGTTTGTCCAAAAGGATTTTAACATCAAGACCCAAATAAAATAACAATGACAACCCAGTCAAGAAAATGATAGAAATAACTTGAAATGACAAAAAAACAAACTTGAAAGCTGTTATGCGTGACATTTTTTTCATCTCTGAAGTTTTAATGTTAAATTTTTTTTTCCTGAAGAACATCTTTATTGTAATCTTTCTATTACTGATTTTTCTTACTTAGCATTCCACGTAATCTTTTGCTTGGTTCTCAAATCCTTTATAGGTTCAAGAGTTTTTGGTATTGGAAAGCCAGAATCTATCTGAATTGAGGGATAATATCTATTGCTTGACGGATAAATTAATGCTGGCAGCAGAGAAATATGATTCTTCTGGTTATTTCCTCATTGAAGTCTGCTCAATCTTCCTTTTCTTATTTGATTTTGTGTTAATATATCCAGAATTCTGTCTAAATTCATGCCTTTTTAATGCAGGAAACCTTTTACAATGATCTGCGAAGCCCTGCTGCTACTGATTATAGCAAACCTATATTTGATTGGCTTGAGAATCAAAGTGACGAAGCTTTAAAGAAGTGGGAGTTTATCATGTCAGGTGAACCAAAGAAAAAACAGATGGAATTATTGGGTAATTTGGATTTCTCCAATTTTCCAAACTTCAAAGCTTCAGAAATGCATAAAACTACCTTCTGTGACCTAAGATTTCGACTTGGAGCAGGTTATCTTTATTGTCACCAGGTATGTTTTTATTTGGGGGCATTTACATACATACCAGCTCATTCTTATGTATTTACATATCTAGTACCTACGCTTTACGTTTTATATTTATACTGCTCAAATCTTTCATAGCACATAAAAAAAAATCACTATTTTAATTTTTAGAAAGCGACATACACCTGTTCAGACATAGCCAAGGTTTCACATATGTAAAAATTGAAGTTTAGGTGTTAGATATTTAAATACATTGGAATTGAGTGGTACATATGTAAATCTTCCTTTTATTTTTCCCAACTTACATTCTTCAATGACCATTCGACTTGTTATGTTTTTCCTAGTTTTGTACCTCATTTATTTAAGTTGTATTTTTGTAGAGTTAGAGTCTTTTGGTTTCTCTTTCGGGAAATTTACATACATACCACACAATTCTTATGCATTTAGATACCCAACACCTAAAGTTTGGTATTAAAACTTGTAACACCTTGTTGTCATAAACCTATGCATGAAAAGGTATATTTCATTTTTATAAGGATAGTGATGATGATATTTTTGGTGTGTTGTTGAAGATTCGAGTGACATGCATGTAAATATGAATGTTTAGGTGTTAGATACGTAAATACATAACACTTGTATGGTAGGTAACCCTTTTTTTTCCTTCTTTTGTGATGAAGATAATCACTTTAGATCTGCTAATGTATCACTTTGCCTCCACTTGATTTTATTAATGTCACAACTCGGAGCGATGAGCTTGGAATTACCAAGGCAGGAACTAACAGTCGGACGAAAAAAACCTGTCTAACAGTTTATTTCTTAACATAAAATAAAATTCAATGCACAAAAAAGTCATTTAATCAAAAAATGATATTTTTAATATATTGTTCGTATTTAAACATTTACGCATAAAATAAACTAAACTGCAATGCTTATCAGCTTGCGCTCCACGACGCTTGTGCATGTACTCTCTGTGGTCCATCTAATCTACAGTTGGTTTTTCTGCAAAAATTTTGACAATTATAATTTGAGTTAAAACTATTCAGTGGGTAAATATTTTTAAATTACAATAATTCTTCATTTTAAAGTATTTTGTAATAGAACAGTAAAAGTAAAATACTTTGCTGTAAAAGGGAACAGTAAAGAAAAAATTTCATTTTATTTCGTTTATTTAAATTACACTTTTTATAGTTGGGAGTCACCGTCTAAATGTTTTCTTTATAAAAATATACGTTTAACCTTTTCAAACTCACCATAAAGGTAGGTAATTTTTTTTCATTTCCATTTCCATTTCATGCATGGTTACAATGCATCATCCAGGGGTGACTCTCATATGCAGCATATATCATATTTGCTCATTTTTTTCTTGCATTTAACATTTAAAAGAAAACAAGGACTTTTGCATTTAAAAAATAAAAGCCGGAAAACAGTAAAAAAAACATCCGTAAATGAACAGAATTATTGTAAAATAAAAATATATTACTCACACCTTTATAGTGTCGTATGCTATCATTTTTTTCAGATAAATTTAATCCTTTTTTGAACCTATAATAAGATATTATGTATAATCAATTTTAATAACACTTGATATTTGATTAATTTAAATAAAACTTTGACCCTCAAGATCAGCAACCAAACTAATTAGATATTTTTATTTGCTCTATATATCTAATTAAATTATTATTTATTTTTAATCAATATAAGTATTTTTCTAAATTACTCTTAATATTAACACTAATAATTTAATTTAGTTAAATACATTTTAAAACAATTAATAAAACTTCTTAAATCTTATTTTGTAATTTGACATGAATTAACAAAGCAAATAATAATTGAAAGTAAAATTTAGAGTTTATATATGAAATTTCTCTCCTTAACAAAGTTCTTTTTGGCTTAATCTTTTTCGCCAATGACCTAAAATTGTGAGAATCAACATTAGGATTTTTTTTTCTGAAAATTAATTGAATTTATTAGGAATTACATTTCACAACTTAATTTAAATAAATTAGCGTTAATAATTTAAAAACATTAAGATTTTACCTTTTTAAACCCTTTTCCTGAATTAAAGCTTTTGAACCTTCCCTAATTTCTTCGAGCCGAATTAAGCTCTCCTGCACATAGAGCTCCCTAGCTCCTCTTCTTCTCAAAGCTCTCGGTCGAGCTTCCTACAAGCCACACACTCTTATTTTATGTGAGCAGCACGATAGGGCTTCCTAAGCACTCGTTTCAACCTTCTCACTCTAGGAAGCGTGCACAAATGATGAAATGATTGCTCGATTAATCCTCTTTCCTCTTGCTCCTCGTGGCAGTCAACAGTGGCCGCTGGAGCCCTCTTGTGCAAGGAGTTGCTGCATGAGCTATCCTTCCTCTTCTGCGGCTCGGTTAGGGCACGAATGCCTCGACTGGTGCGTACGAGTGGTTTGTGACCTCGCCCCCCTTTCCTCCGCTCGCAAGACCACTGGAATGACAACGGTGCAAGGGGGAAACTCGGTTGAGTCATTCGAGCCCTCCAGGTAGCCACTCGAGCTTCTTATTCTTCTCTTCCTTCTTCTTCCTATACCTCACTCTCTCGCTCTGTCACTTTCCCCTCACCTCTCTCTCGCTCTCCTTCGCTTTCTATTTGTGTGAGGTTGAATGAGAACAGACGAGAAATACACCTCATCTTAACGCTCCTATGATTGGTGCAATCCAGCTCGAACAACACTTGCACACAGAAAAATATTACATACGGACTCTAATAAAATCTTGTCGCACATATCTGAATGATCACATAACGTTTATTGTGGTGTTATTGCAAAACAACTCTAATAATACTACAATAACATGTCAATACTAACAGTGAACAATGCCATTAACACTGCCCGGAGGACCACACAAATGACACAGTGGTTCTGCTTCAATAACCCCGCAAAACAACTATAATAACACTGTTGAGCAATGCCAATAATACCGTCCAGAGGACCACACAAATAACACCATAGTTTCGCTTCAATAACCCTGCAAAACAACTCTAATAACATCACAATAACACCGCAATAATACCGGTGAACAACACTAATAACATCGTCTGGAAGACCACGCAAATAGCACCACAGTGTTATTGGAATGTTATTGGCGTTTTTTCATCATTTTTTAGGTGCGCCCAATAGATACACATGACAAAATTTATTGGAGTCCGGATGCAGAGCTACATCCGGACTCCGTATTTAATATTTTCACAGCAGGTCATTACCAACGAAGTTATATTATTTTATTTTTATTTTTATTTTATTTTATTTTTTTCTGTTTATTAATTTAATTTAAAACTGTTACTGTTATTATTATTATTATTATTATTATTATTATTATTATTATTATTATTAGGGTTTAGGGTTTATTATTACAATTAACTTCTTATATCATCTTATTGAAAAAAGGGAAATTGTTCTGATGGCTTTTTTAAAAGGTTTTCACTTTTTTTTTATTTTCTATTTTTACATTAAAGATGATGGATTGCCTGGGACACATGCTATGAATCTATGAGGAACATTTCAAACTTCATTTGTTGTTTTAGTTATAAAATCTTAACCCTTAGTATTTTTTTGTTAACTACGGATATCTTTATGCATGCAGGAGCTTAATTGCTCAAGTATCACTGTCAATCTGGTTACCAGTACGATTCCCGATAGGCTAGCATCTTGCCTGGATTTCACTATGTACTAAAATAAGGAGAAAACCTGATAAGAGCTAAAAATAAAAGTAGCCTTTCAATTAAATAATACTACATTAATTCTTATAACGGCTTCCATTATTGGCAAAATTTTGGTCTTTCATTAAAAAAAATAATAAAAAAAAAATAAACGAAAAGAAAATAATTGATTTTCTTGGGGCTTTTTAGGTTTACTTCCTGAAGTTTGCATATCTTTCTTTTAAATTTATTGATTTGATAAAATACCAGTCATGACATATAGAATTCATATAACGATTCAATAATTTATAATAGTTTTGTATGTAAATAAAACCAATTAAAATTAGAGAATAATTGTATCTGTGAAGGATATTCTATAGAATGTCTATTTGCATTACTAGGCTATAGTCCTTGTTCTTCATCAAGCCTTATTCTTAAATTGGGACTGCTTTAGGGTTTCTCATTTTCTTTTTAGTCCTATTGAATGTTGTGACGCTAGAAAAATTTAATCCGTAGTCTGTTTTTTCAAAGTTCTTATCTTCAATAGATGTTACTTCAATCAACCCTATGATATAATTATTTCTCATTTTATCTTTCCTCATTTTACCACACATCTATAATAAGTTTCTCATTTATGTTATACGCCACTTAGTTATTGACTATCTTTTAATTTAAAATATTGATTCATATAGCGTAAGTCTGTTCTTATGAAATCTACATTTAAATCTTTATAATTTCTTCTACTTGCATAATAATCCGGATGCATTTCTCTGTATTAACCGCCCAGTCTTAATCGTAGAAGTTATATCTTTATTTTTCAGTTTAATAGACAAGAGATAAATGCCTATAACATATGGTTATCGTTTTCTCTTTGAATTATATTGTTAGATAATTGCTAATGTCACCCTAATTTTATTTCAAATCATATTCTTTTTGTTCTATTGATTCTAAATTATTTATCTGCTAAATACTATTTTATTGTTCTAATTATCACTTATTTTAGTAGACATCTCATCTATTAGAATTTCCATTTGCAAAAGCGTACACCAAGATGTCTCACTTTGAATATCTTTCTACCATCCTTTGTGGTCTCATCTTATCCCTTTAACATCCAATTTATGTCATGTTAGTTTTCTTGGGAGCACAACATTGGTTTATAGAAAAAAAAACCATTAAACCTTGTTCATTGTTGATTCTACTTTGGAACAGTCTTGTTGATACTGGAGTTAACCCAAACCATGCTCGAATGACACATTTTATTGCTGCAATCAAGAAATTATGACGAAAACACTTCAATGTAACAACTCAAGCATGAAAAACAGTAAACAACAATAAATACTACAAGAATAAGAAAAGAGATAGC